CTCTCGCGAGCAGCCTTGTTCTCGGCCCCCCTCCCCCGGCAGAAGAAGGGCCGGCAGCGTTGAGGGCAGGGACCGGCCTCGGCCGCCCCTTCCTCCCTTTCCCCACAGGCAGGAGCGGGCAGGCAGGCAGGCAGGCTGTCCGGGCGGTGTCTCCTTCGGGCCAGGCGGGCAGAGACTTCGCCCTTCCTGAAGCGGGGCCCTCTGCCGAAGGAGGCCGTCCAGACTGTTGGCGGTGGGCTCTGCGTGCTCGTTCACGAATACGAACGGCCCAGCTCTCATCCAGAGCGAAAGCGTCTCCCCGGCGGGGCCAGGCAGGCAGGCAGGCAGGCAACGCGCCCCCCCTCCCCCAACCGCGGGAAAGCCTCCCGCAAAAGCCACTTCCCCAAGTTTTCCACGTGGCGGTTGGAACCGATCTGAGCACCAGGAAGGCCTTCCTGTTGTTTGAGCAGAGGCGCTTTTTCCCCCCAACTTTAACGCTGCCTTTATTTTTAGTGTTTCCTCTCGTATGGAATACAATCAATAATTACAAGAATGACATAAATAATCATTTAGTAGTGGACCAGTTAACCAAGATTCCAGCTGGTGGAAAACAGACCATCTGGGAGCTTTTCCATGATCCGAGTAAAGGCAGGGGTGGGGCTGGTGCTGCTGCTTCTCCACACATTTAATCATCTTTCAATAGGGCAGGCAGGGACCTTTCTCTTCCTGCACACTTTCCCTCAATGACTGGCTGCCTGAATGGTGCTTTATAATGGATTGTTTTACCTCACTCTGTGTGAGGTCTTCCTTTTGTTTACCACTTCTCTGATCTTTTTTAGTGTATTTGTAGGCTTATTGTTTATAGCTTCAAATGGTATTTTAATTATATAAGCCACCTTTGTGTGCTCATTGTTTTTAGCTTTAATTGTCTTTTTTTATTTATTTAATAGTAAAACTAAAATACAAATTCAACAATAACTACATATAATACACATTGGACTTTCCCCACCTGTGTCACCTTTACTCTTGGGACTAGATGACCAGTAGTATCAATTTATATCCATTTTTATCCCCATACCTCTCCGAAAATACATTGATTCTTTTGCTGGCATATATCCTTTCCCCTTTGAAAAAGCCATGCTCCAAGTATGAATTCCATACATCTTTGAAATCATTAGACTTTACCATTATTCTTCTTATTTTCATTTCACGTTATCATTAATTGCTAAGTTCCAAATTTCTTTCTACCAATTTTCAAGATTAAGTTGTTTGTTGCTTTTCCAATTCTTTGCAAAAATTAATCTTGACTCCTGAGAATAGCTCTGTGTCAACTTGAGACTCCATATCCACAAAGAACTTTTTAAAAAATAGTCTCCTGTTTTCACCCTCATTGATTAGCAGTAGTGCTGAGCCAGAGAAGTTACCCTTTGGTTTCACCTATTTTGAATCTTTTGCATGTGCCCAAAGTAAACAAAATCAGTGCATTGGGTAAATAGGCTAAAGTTCAGCTGCTCACGCTCCACTTAGCTACTGACTCTCATTTCTAAAAAGAGTGAAAAATTGTCCCTTTTTCAGATATCTCAATTTGTAAAAGCACTAGAAAGAAGGAGCAGCTGCCAAGAGCAGTTAAGGTGCAGATGTTACTCTGTTTCACTCCAGCCCACATCCTATGCTTTCCACAGCAGTTTGTCTGTATGTCAGGATTTCAAAGAAGCATCTGTGTTTGTTTGTCTCATTGGCAAAGTAAACAGGGAAGAAGCAGAACATTGTGGCAATTTAAAAGACTAACAGGTTTATTTCAGTCTGTGTTTTCATGGCTCATAATGAAGGTAAGAGCAGAGTAAAGGATTAATAATACTTAGGGTATAGTGTAGGAACAGGGTGAGACCAAACTGGTGCTCTTTCATAACGGGATAGGTCTCACCAGTGTTAGAACAGCTCCACTGGCTTTCTGCATCTTTTCAGCCAGGCACAGTTCCAAGTAGTGGTGTTGACCTTTAACAATCTCTCCTGCTTAGGATTTCACAATTCTGGTATGAACCTGACCATTGAGGCCTTCACTAGAGATCCGTTCTGGGTTCTTACTCCTGACACAGGAGGTTTGACAGATGACAAAGAAGAATAGCAGCTTCTCTGCAGGAGACACTCTATTGTAGGAAGGTGTGCTTACCACCCACCTTTCAATATTAGGTACAAGGTTTAAATTATTTTATTTGCCCATTCTTTGGCCTGATATGTATTTTGTTTTTAAAATAGCAGTGGTCTTCATGTGATAGTGATCCTATGTTGTCTTTCTCTTATTTTATATTTCTGTTTGAACATTTAAAAGTCATTATATTTTGTATATTTACTTGTGGTTTGAAAGCTGCCTTTTAAAATGTTGGTTGAAAGGAAGAATGCAGACCTTTAAGATTAATGTGCTTCATGGTCCATGTTAGAAATAAAGGAGGGTTCTTAGTTATCATTCTACACACAGTACCAGTAGAAAGGACAGGCTTGTCAGCTAAAGAAAGGACCTGATGATCTTGCCAAATAATGAAACTTCCTAAACCCTTCACCAGTTTCAGATGGCAAAATAATGACTGTGCAGCCTTGAATCTCCTTCTGAAAGCAAGGCAACACTCCTTCCAGGAAAGCAGTTCATGCTGCCAGGTAAACTGGGCTGTAACGGGAGGCTACCTCCTGAATTTGTAAGCCTTCGTCCCTTTCATAGATTGTTCCCGGAAGGCATTGATTATTTCCCCTTCATCTTGTGCTATTTGAGTTCAGGGGTCAGAGTGTAGTGGGAGTGAGGAAAGCCTTGTTAATCTTTCTACCTCTGAAGACAGATCTGTTGATCCCAAGCTAGCTTCTCTTGTTTGTTTCCCTGCAGGCGGACGGGAGTTGTGCTGAACAGTGTGTCCAGCCATGTTCCTTGAGTTAATAATTCTCCAGAAGGTGGCCGTGAGCAGAGTGGAGAGCAGGAAAGATCTCCAGCGAAGTCCCAGCTCAGCAGAAACCCTGGCAAGCAACTGCTGCCCAAGCACTCAGACAGCAGCTGCTACAACCCTGTTCCCAGTACATCGGTGCGACTCCTCACGCTTAGGAGCAAAGTTGCTGCTCCTGTGAACAGGACTCATAAGGCACGAGGGGCCACCCACCTGCCACAGACCCCTCATCTTGCTCTGTGGAGAGACACTGCCCTAGAAGAACAATGGCAGGAAAGGGCTACAGCTATTATCGGTTGGTGATATTCATGGCCATGTATGTTGGATATACCCTATACTATTTCAACAGAAAAACATTTTCATTTGTGATGCCTTCAGTCATGGAAGAGATCGATCTGGATAAAGACGACTTGGGTAAGAGCCTTCTTTTGTGGCCGGGGGGGGGGATATTTTTCTCCTAGCTTCTTGGGACATAAATTGTTTGGAGCTTATGAACGGAAGTTGTGGCACTCAAGGAAACTCTTCCAAACAATTTCTGTATGGGAATTTAGGGGGCGTCCCTTTGCTCAGGGACTTGTTCTGAATGCATCTGCTGCTTTACTGTGGAAGCTTGTTCTCTAGAAGGAGGCCAGTCCCTTGGGAGGCCAGCTTTCAGCTTGGGGACTGATGTTTGGAAAGCCTGCCAGTTAGGATTCTCAGGGTACTTAAAATGCCTTTCATTGTCAAATAAAGGTTGAGTTTGTTTAGAGAGACTATCTTTCAGGTATAATCTGGCCCTGGTAATTGTGCAGCAGGTTATAAGAAGAGCCGCACTGGATCAGACCTAGAGCCTCTCTAGTCCAACATGCTGTTTCCCACAGGGGCCCGTCAGGGGCCCCATGGAAAGTCCACAGGCAGGACACGAAGGCAATCATGTCCTCCCATTCATGTTTGTCAGCAAAGGAATGCTCCATTTCATAATCTGATTCTGTTGCAGACTGTGGTCACTTCTGTGGCAACAGATGTTTGTTGTTCTTATTAATAATATAGATAGATTGTGGTGCCCTGCAGTTTACAAGAGGCAAGAAGACAGGGGCTTATTTTCTCTGATTCAGCACAGAGGAGGCAGCAGAGGAAGGGAAAGGAAGCGAAGGCTGGGGCCAATAGGAGTGGGATATAGTACATGGTTATTTCAGTTGCATGGACAGAGACGTTGTGTCAGTAGAATATGGGGTCTAAGGAGCTATACTAACAGGTATACATGAAAGACTTGGTTTAGTTTACCTGCATCTTGGTAACAGACCATGTTAGTCCAGTCTGAAGCCTGAGCCTCTGCATATTGATCTTTGGGCTGGAGAAAGAGAATTCCCTGGATTTGAGGCCTAAAACAGAGAGGTAACAGTTTGAGAACCATCGCCCGGGAAGGTGTCTGAATCCAGGATCTTTGAAACGGCGCCACATCCGAGGGTTGTTGGTTTGCTTCCGGTGCTGCTGCTTCCACCTGGTTGACCGAGTCTCTTTGACCATGCCTATGAAGCTTTTCGTCTGGGGTTCTCGTCCAATGCAGGTCTTATCACCAGCAGCCAATCTGCCGCCTACGCTATTAGCAAGTTCATTAGTGGGGTCCTTTCAGACCAGATGAGTGCCCGCTGGCTTTTCTCCTCCGGCCTCCTATTGGTGGGCTTAGTCAACGTGGTCTTCTCGTGGAGCTCTACCGTTACCCTCTTTGCAGGGCTGTGGTTCCTCAATGGGCTGGCCCAGGGTCTGGGATGGCCTCCGTGTGGGAAGGTGCTACGCAAGGTAAGCATACTTGTGGCATGCTATTGATTTCTGGAATGTTCCTAGCAGCTCCCTTCTGGCAGGGCCTGGTGGCAAGAGAGCAATAGGCTCAGGGTTACGGCAGTGCTGGTCACAGCAGACTATTCTGCAGCTAGCCGAGGAAAGACGGCCACCCATGAGCACTTCCAACTGTAATGTTATCCACTTTTACATTGTTGTTTAGAGGTTTGCAGGTCTTAATAACAGAACCCTTCTTGCTGTTTCCCTGCCCTGAGCAGTGGAGTTGAAGGCCTTGCTGTTCCTCTTTACTTCCCAAAGTTTCTGGCTGTGCTTGAGTTGGCAGTGGGGGTGAGGGAGCGATAAATCATCAGCCATATCACATTGCAGTTTGGGATATTCTTGGGAAGCAGGCACCCAAATTGCCCCCGGCAGCTGTGAAAGAAGACGTGATCAAGTGGCACTGAGGCAGGTGGGTGTTGCAGAGGAGGCAGAGTCTGCACAGGCTTCCACAGAAGGCCAGAGTTAAATTGGTCTTTTGACAGCTCGCAGCTCGTTTCCACAGGACGTCAGGAGAGCTCTTCAGCTGAATCAGACCAGGGGTTTGCTTAGCGCAGACATCTGATCACCCACGTTGGACAATCTTTTGGGAATCACGCAAGTCTGGCAGGAAGGCAAGAGGCCTGATGTTCAGAGGCAGGCCGTTTCGGAACCCAACGTGTAGCATATAGACCCACCTATGAGGATTAGTAGCTATTGATAGCCCAACCTTCCAAAAAGAAAGAGGCTCCTGGCAAACTGGCTGCATCGTATCTCTTTGGCCTCTGTGCCCTTAGGAGTAGAAACTTCTAGGACTCTCAGAGCAGCTAATGCTCCAGGCATTGTCAGGCAGAGGGATGAAAGCAGGAGGAGGGTCACCATCTGGCTGTCTTTCTTTCTCATCATTTTCCTTGGTGCAGTAATCCTGGTCCTCCCCAACCTAGGGACCAACCACAGATAGCTCTTCACTTGCCAGCTGCCATGTTTGCCCCACCCACCCACTCCTTGTTAATGCTGCTTGTCTTTTTGTATTGATCAGGTGATGTATGTTATTTTATTCCAATTATGTATTCTATTTCATCTAAACCGCTTTGAGGGCCACCAGGTAAGAAAGCTGCAGAAAATTTAAGTTTAATTCTACCTGTGTTTTGGAAACCCTGCTTTAGGCAGCAGGAATGTGACACTTAGGACACTGGCTTGCTTCTCAGCAGTGGCCCCTGCAAGCCAGCAACGTTTGTAACCCAACTGGAGGCTTCTGGGGAGGCTGGGGTCATTTGGATGCCACACAAGGAGTCTACCATGTGCCTATCAGACTTTGTTGTCCGGGCTTGCTTCAACATCTGGTTTTTCTCTCCTGTATAGTGGTTCGAACCTTCCCAGTTTGGGACCTGGTGGGCAGTCCTCTCCACCAGCATGAACCTGGCAGGAGGGTTGGGCCCCCTTGTGGCAGCCCTGATGGCACTGAGCTATGACTGGCGCACAACCCTGGCCCTCTCTGGCTCTCTGTGTGTGGTGGCCTCCTTTGTGTGCCTGCTGCTGATTAAGAACGAGCCCTCGGACGTGGGACTGCCCAACATTGAGCCTGGGCCCAAGAAAGGGAAGAAGGGTGAGTGTCTACGAGGGGAGAGCTGGCTCAGGTGGGTTGGCGTTTCATAGCAAGACCTCCTCTTGACATGAGCAGCAAGGAGGGAAAGGGTAGCACCTCGAGTAGCAGGTGGCCACGAAGAAGAGGCAGCAGGTTGTCGGCTCTGGTGAGGATCCAAGGGAAGGGCCCACCTGGCCCAGATCTCTGTCAGACATGGGACAATCTGCCTGGATCTCGCAAGTCACGCCTTCTTCCTTGCAGGCTCCGCGAAAGAGGACAGCACACTGGCTGAGCTGCTGCTTTCCCCATACCTCTGGGTCCTGTCTACTGGCTATCTTGTGGTCTTTGGTGTGAAGACATGCTGCACAGACTGGGGGCAGCTATTCCTCATCCAGGAGAGAGGACAGTCTGCTCTTGTGGGTATGAAAAAGCAGGCTTAACACTAGGAGGTCCTGAAAGATCTTAGCTGAGAGAAGGGAGTGTTTGGGCCAGGGTCAGTCTAACAGGTTGCTGGTGTCCCCAACACTCATAGCAGATTTCTGTCTGCTGAAACAGTTCCTTGGAGCAAAAGTCTCACCAAGGGACCTGTCAGGCAGTGATGTGGCCTGGTGCCCTCTCCCCACCCCCAATGACTTGGAAAGAAGGGGAAGCATCAGCCTCTGACCATTTCCAGATTCTTGCAGCTGTCCATCATCCGGCTACTCTTTTCTTTGCAGGAAGTTCCTACATGAGTGCCTTGGAAGTCGGGGGGCTGATTGGGAGCATCGCAGCAGGCTACCTTTCAGACCGAGCAGTGGCACGGGTAAGCTGCCCTCCTCTTTTCCCATGGGAGGGATGGCTTCTCATAAACTTCCAGGTCACAGGAAGCTTTTTCAGAGCCAGTGGATGCTGAGACAGATGAAGGTCTGATCCAGGGAGGGGCTGGGAAGGCACAGGCACCACAACCACCAGGCCTGTGGTCATTGACCGTGGGGATATTTTCCAGCCACTACACCCTCATGTATGTGTTTTAGGTTGGTCTGTCAATCTATGGGAACCCCCGACATACTTTACTCCTCATCATGATGGCTGGCATGTCTGCTTCCATGTACCTTTTCCGGGTTACGGTCACAGCCAGCTCTCCCAAGGTAAGCCACAGAATTGCTGCTCGCAATGTCAGAGTGATTCGAAGCAGGAAGGATTAAAGGAGAAACAGGAAGATGAATTAACAGCACCAGAATCTTACGAGTGGCAAACTGGTGGGGGTTCCTATCCAAAAGAGACTTTGGTCTGTGCAAGTCACTTGAAGAATTGTCTGCTTGGGGCAATTACTGAGAAGGGTAATGACTTGACTGCTTGCGTATTTTGGTGAATAGCCATAGTATGTCCTACAAGAAGGATTTCCAAAGTAGAATGATGGCATGGTTCTTGTAGGCGATGTCCTCCAAGTGGGGCATGTGTCCAGTTTCCTAGCTTTGGAGGAATGAAAACTGAACCTTTTAAGTCAGACTGCAAAGTCTATTCCAACACCAACACACACACACCCTTTTAGGCTTTTTGCTGCTCCAGCTCCAACTTTTCAAGCCATGAGCTTTTGTTAATGTCAGTGGATACATTCACAGAGAATTCCCTTCAGTCTGAATGCAGGAGACTTGATACAGATCCCCAGGCAACCATGTTTCCAGAGCTGTAAGACAGGATAAGGAAACGATTCTGACCCCCATCAGCCCTAGGCAGCATAATCTCGTGTTAGAGGCACCAGTAGTTGTAGCCAGTAGCAGCTGGAGGGCTGCAACATCCCCGCCCTTGATATTTGGTATGGAAGCAGCCCTTCCAAAGTTTTAGAAAGGCTCCCAGATCGAGAATTTCTACATTTACTGCCTTGAAGGGGAAGCTTGGGGCGGGCAGGCAGTTTCCTAAATAGCAGCCATGGCTATTTTTGCTACACTTTTTTTTTCTTCTTGACACTTTCTCACTTCAACTTGCTTATTGTTTCATTCTCTCTCTCTCTCAGGAAAGCAACTCTTGGATTCTCCTCCTCCACCCTCTTGCTAACCTTGTGGGCTTAACAGAACATGAGGTCTTTATTCTGCCTTATTCTCTCTCTGACTTCCATGTCACCTTCCCAGGTTTAAAACTAGACCCTTGTAGAAATGCTAGAAGCGCAGGATAAATTAAAGTCCCTGCCACCTTTCCTGCTTTTTCACCCCCTCTGTCTTCAATATACAGTGTTTTCTAGATACAGATGTTGAAGCGTTCTACTTTGTGTCTTCTACCAGAAACTATAAAGCACTCATTAACACCTTCACCAAATAATGATTAGCAAACTTACCACAGAAGCTGTTGTTGCTTTTAAAAGAAAATAGTTACTAACATAATTAACCTGATTGTTAACAAAGGACAGCTGCTCTTGTCCCAGAAGAAAACGTCCTTGCCAAAAGTAAATGTTTTAATGTAGCCATGGAATCACCTGGCAGGTAATGAAGTAGAAGTGTGGGGTTTGGGGCATCAAGCTGCAGAGAGACCCTGCCCTTCCTTGTCACACCCGCACTGCTGACTCCCTTTCTGGTCCTTGCTTTTCTAGATCTGGATTCTGCTGTTAGGTGCGGTCTTTGGATTTTGCTCTTATGGACCCATTGCCTTGTTTGGAGTCATTGCGAATGAAAGCGCGCCCTCTAACCTGTGTGGAACTTCTCATGCCATTGTGGCACTGATGGCAAATGGTAAGCGGAGTCCTAACCCTTGACCAGAGGAGAAGAGAAAGGTGGCCTAGCCCCAGATGATTCTTCCTTTCCTTTTCAGTTGGAGGGTTTCTTGCTGGACTGCCTTTCAGCACTATTGCCAAGTACTACAGCTGGGGCACAGCTTTTTGGGTAGCAGAAGTGACCTGCACCGCCAGCACTCTGGCCTTTTTCTTCCTGAGGAACATCCGTACCAAGATGGGACGTGTACCAAAGAAAGTAGACTAAAGTTCCAGTGACTTGGCTGAGGAGGAACATTTAAAAGCCCAACAGGTATGAGGCAGAACTGAGCTCTAACCAGGCACCGTCGGTCCTCTGCCACATCCTGGAAGAAGAAGAAAAACTGGCAAAGTTTCACCTCTGCTGCTACCACTTTGGTTCCTGAAGCACCACAAGAAATGCTCACAATGGTTTGGCCCTCATGGTCACTCCCTGCCCAAGCCAAGGTTGGGCACTTACCCCTTTAATCATGCACCAACCTCCTGCTGAGTCTTACTGGTAGACTCATGAGAGCAGCTGTGGAGGTGTGTAAGAGACCTTCTGCACCTGAGGAGAGAGAAGTGCCTTTGCCCCATTTACCAGTGAAGATGACCCAGCCTGCACCCCAGGCCCCCTCCTCTCCCTTGAATTCCAGATAGGCTGCAAGTTCCACTGGAGGCCCTCACAGAAGGAGGCAGGCAGGGCTCTTTAATAATCCCTGCCTTGCTGATCAGAACTAGATGGGTAGGAAGATGTTAGTGGCACCTAGTAAGGCTTATCAGCCAACTAGGGAGAATGTGGGTCTCTGTTTAAGCAGAGAACAAAGGCCATAAACACAAATACAGCTGTGAGTACTGCTGTCTCTCTTCCTCCCTATATTATTAATAGTCAGGAAGTGGAGCCATGGAGAGTTCTTAAACAATTCTGAAGCCATAGTTACCCCCAACTGCAACCTGTGGTCTGTATTAGGAGCAGGACTGGAGGGGCAACTGACCATTCTGCTGGAGAAACAGCTGCCACACACACACAAAAACAAAAACAAACAAGAACTGCCATTAGGAGCCTCTCTTGCAGCAAGACTGGAACTAAGTCATTACAGTGGATTCTAAATCATGGTAACGGAGCACTCAGTGACAGAAAGAAAAGACAATATAGTGGAAGCCTTTGAGTCTACACAGAGACCTCTCTTCCCTGAACTGCCAGCACAGTAGAGTGAGGATAGTGTTAGACCGGAACTCAAAAGTTCTGGGTTCTAATCCACATTTGTCCAGGAAGCTGGCTGGGGTGACCTTGAGCCAATCACATACCCTCAGCCTCACCGACCTCACACAGGATATGTGAGGATAACCGGGAGGAGCAGAGCAATGAACGCCGCCCTGAGCTCATTGGAGGAATGGTAGGATGTAAATACAACAAAATAATAAACCAGTACATGTTCACTTCAGTAGTTTGGCTCATCGCTTCCCCTTCAGCGGGGCACATTTACTGCCGTGCCTATGTTTATCTCACAAGAGAACTTTATCTGCCACTCAAAAATGAAGAATCTTCTCTTTATAGAATGCTTTATTAACACAAGCAGTACTTAATGCCCCAATAATAAATTAGACATGTACAGTGTGACAGACAAACATATATTTTGTACATCCTACTTTTTGAAGAGAGGGTGTGGCCTTGTTTCTTTTTAAGATGGCAGCAGAGGTTTGCCACGGTGCTGTCACCTGTTCGGTCCTCTCAAACTGCCACCAGAGCCACATCCTTCTAGCCGAAGACTCCACTGTCCTGAGAAGTCCATCTGGCGGCTGATGTGAGGGAGGGCCTATAACCCTGGTCCAAATGGTCCTGCTTTCTCTGCTACCTCCAGTGCAAGTTTCAGGTTCTGATCGAAGAGCTCACATCTGAAATATTCAAGGGAAAAAAAGCAATTGGGTAACACCACATTGTAGCAAGCAGAGAAGAGCAATTCCCAAGAGGAACCTCTCCCTTTTAATTCGGAGCTGAATATATTCCATCAGCTTAGAAAACAGCCTCAGTATTGGGGGTGGGCAGGTGGGGAGATTAGTGTCTGTACCTGATTGGCATCTCTAAAGAGTAGAAAGGGTTTTTCAAAGCAAAGTCTGAGTAAATCTCATAGATCTTGCGCAGAAGGGAATCTATCCCAGATTGCCTTGGATCAGCAAGTACCACAAATTTGATCCCTGAAAGAAAAAATGATTGGAATTTGCACATGCCGCACCCAGAGCAATATACAGTTGTTTTCGGTTGAATTTACAGCATTAAGGCCATGTCACTGATTTTAAACCTGGCCTGGTGGTGAATTGCAGCAATCTTGAAGTTAAATACTGGAATGTTTCCCAAACAGTAGCCTCTCTCCCTTGGTTACTGAAGTCCAGGGTTGCCTCTGCTCAGTAAACATAAAAGGCAGGATTGCTTTTAAATTCCACAGAATTGGTCTGACTCCCATAGTGGAGCGTTTCCAATCTGAAACTGCAGGACAGCTCAAAAAACAGCAGAATTTTGAACACAACCCAAGAGAGGGCAGGTGGGGGGCACAAGGGACAAAGAACAAGGCCTCACCTGCAGAATTAGAAGGCACATCATCTCCCCCCATCAAGGGTAGCTACAGGGATGTACTGGTCAAGATCCGGCCCTTTTCCCACGGGGGGGGGAGGGAGGGGGGACAGGGATCGTGCCACCTCTTAACGCGCCCCGCGAATCCAAAGAGCGAGGAAGGGGGGGGGCCTACCTACCGGTCAGGGTCTGGAAGCAGTGCAGCTTGAAGGTGTCCGTCTCCAGCATCTCGATCCCGGAGCTCCCCTGCTCGGGGGAAAGCTGGGAGCCGATGGCGAAGAGCCTGGGTGCAACAGGGGGGCCCAAAAGCGCGTTAAGGTCGCCCTCGTGGGGCGGGGGGGGTCGCGTGGGGGAGGGGGGTGTGTGCCCCCCGGGCCCTCCCCCGCCCCCTCCCGCGACTCACGAGTGGAACATGGAGGCCAGCATGAGCTTCTCGTTGGAGGTCAGCCGCGGGCGCCCAAAGCGGATCGAGACCGGGTAGTTGGCGGGGTTGCTCAGGTACTCCATCACGTCCTTCCCGTCGCCCGTGAGCCTCCCGTTGACGTCGACCCCGTTGAGGGCGAGCACGGCGTGGCCCACTGGAGGGAGAGGGAGGCAGGGAGGGAGGGAAGGCCAGGCCGTCAGCGAGGCCCCGACCCGCCCCGGCTCCGGCTCCCTTGAGGCGGGCATTGATTGTGTATGTGTTTTTTTAAAAGCACATGTGGAAGAAAAGGCTACTAGCAGGTTCATCCACATATAGCTATATCGGACCATAAGGTTAAGCGGTTAAGCCTGAAAGACCAATTCCATCCCAAATAAATGTTATACATTTCGCGTTTGCTCTAGTTGTGCCAGTAGAGTGCGCGCTGCCCGAAGGCCACCAGGACGCGCTCGTCGTGCGGGCGGAGCACCAGCTCGAGCGGGAAGCTGAAGGTCTTCTCGGCCTCGGCCCGGGGCGCGTAGTGGTCCAGCTGGTAGATCAGGCCCCCGGCCTTGTTCACCACGTACACGCTGAAGATGGCCATCGCGGGGGCCGGCGGCGGCAGCGGCGGCGGCGACCTCTGAACTCTGAC